AGAAACCACCATATTTGTCAGCAAATTCATGTTGAGCTCAAGATTCTATTCCAGAACGCATTTTCATATCTGAGCGTCTAAAAAGTTGAGGAACACCCGGAAAACCTAAAAATAAAATAAAATTTGGTATTGCATTGCAACGGCAAGAGCCCTTTTACAACACAAGATGTATTGCAAGGATTAAATGTCTTGATTGTTGTTAGGCTGTCAGATTTTCTTGGATAAGTTACTAACTTCTTTATTCTCAGGCAAACTTTGTTTGATGCTCGTTGCCGTCAAGGTAATGCACAGGAGAAGCTACATTTATTCTTAACACTATAAAATATTATCGTTTTCAAATGTACCTTCCGACCTGAGATAGGTGGAGCATAAATACAACTAATAATAAACCTCGCAATCTCGGCAAGGATGTTTCAGAGTAATGCTATCATTTTGTTTCAATTGAATCAATTATTGCGGAGCCCGTATTTACAGAGATGATTAATGATATTTTTTGGAGGACCTCTGAAAAGAAGCTAAATGACTGGATGGCTATACAAATACATATAATAAAGTACAATTATGTGATGGTGTACACAATAAGAAGGTATATAAAATCATTTAGCTTGCATCATATCTATAAAATCGTATATCACCTTCTGAACCTAATCTGACTAGATTTAATTGGCTTTATTCAGCTTTTAGTGTTAGATTGGAGATTTTAAATAATTAAGATAGAATAGTATTTCTCAACTGCATTTGCCCTACTGAAATATATGTTCTCCTGACGTTTTATAATTTGAGAGCCCATTGACTCATATCCTAGCTGCCATAAAATCATAAATATGACTTTGACCATGGATCTTAATGGAAGGTCAAATCGATTCCTATTCTGCAATTTGAAGAATTGCTCAAGGGGATCATAAAAAATATTTTTATATTGAAGCAGTCTCGTATGTAGAAGACTAAATACCCGGGCACTGCATATGCTTGGAGGAGCTTAAAAAACTTTCAAAATCCGATTTTTAAACTGTAGTAGAGCTGGGAAAATCTCGATACCCTAGGGACAAAGGAACGATCGTATTGGCCAGTTCTGGATGTACTAAGACACGGTTAAGATCGGAGGCCGAAGTTAGGCGGGTCTGTCTGGCAGGCTCATCGCGTGGCGGCATCATGCAGGAGAGTTCTGAGGAGCAAACCCCATTGACATAGCGGTAGAAGAGAAACAGACCGCCGACGATCCGTCGGTGCGAAAGGGTCCCGAGTATATCATACGGAGAAGAGGCATCCATCAGTCGATAGCTCTCTTCTCACATCATCACACTTGAACAATTTAGTCGGGGCGGCAGAACTCCAAACTCTAAGCAGTACTCTATACTAGGCTATCTAGGCCTTGTACACAACGAAGAGGTTATGTTCTTATTCAAAGAGAACTGAGAACTGCCTCATGCTAGATAAAACATTTCCATAGGTAACAACATCTCTTGTCTGGATATTCAACACAGCCTTGAAGTTTAGCTCTCTGAAGGAACGTATCATCATAGGAGAGATACGTTCCCAGTGTCACGAATAACTACATTACCTGGCACATATACAGACCAAGGACATTTGAATTAATCCTAAACTAATACTGCCTAAGGCAAGGCGCCTGGATATCTTGAATCACTGGCTACGTAGGGAACTGGAATTAGAAGTGCCGAACTTTGCCCAATACAAGACCACTCTATTTACTGACCTAACCATTGCAGCAAAAAGTTTCCCGGCTTAAGAAATATTAGAGGATCACACCTGTCCATAAATACTACCATCATCATCATCATACTCTCTAATCATTTAATCACCAGTTAGTGGACTCCACTGAACTGAATCTAAATCATAAGCGAACTCGTGAAATGTTAACTCGATTTTTCTTTTTGCATCTGCGGCACTCTGATGCTCTAGAAGGGGTCATGATTTCGTAACTGCGAAAAGTTGATATAAACCAACAGCGTTTGTAATTCACAATTCAGTATGGGTACGAGATGGATGCAAAAAGAATGCATTGAAATTATTCCGAAGATGCGAGGTACGAGTATAGTCTAGTCGAGGTCTGCACCGGAATGAGTGTTTCGAGTCGGTGCGCCAATTTTTTGTTGGAAGGCTGTTAGATATATAAGAGTTTGAGACAACTTTGGGATTACTACTTCTTTTACAGGTTTAAAATATTTTCCGAGCGCTTTTGAAATGTTTTCATGAACGTTAATAGATTTACTTAAACTTTTCATACTTCAAAAGTCCGTGCGACGTCCTCCCTTTCCACTGCAGCCCCCTACCTGTATATCCCCATTGAACTACTGGGTATTAAGGCCTTAAGCCTTCGTGGTTGTTGGAGTATAAAAAAAATGAGCACTTATCATCTAAATTGAGCATAATTACGTTGGTTGTTTACATAAGGATGTTGACAAAACGTCTTACTTAACACCTTATTCTTGAATTAAACAAAAGAAAACCAGTGTACATTCATATGTATATTTTTTAGAAATGAAGTTTATAGGTAGATTTATTGATAGAATTTTTCAAAAATGAAACCTAGAATTTTAAATGCTTCACATCATAAATAAACATCACAAAGTATATATAAAAATTTACAAAGACATTTTATTTTGCCTTGTTACATCGTTTCGCCACTGTAATCGCGAAAATCTTTGAAAATGGGATATTTTTTTGTTTTCATATGATATTTACATCACGAAAAACTACATCATTTCCGTCGGTCTGTCGGCTGGTTTGTCAGATGAGATTTTGATGAAATTTTCTCACAAGGTTAGAACCATATCAAGAACAAAAGGTCTTCAAAGTTTTTACAAATTGGTCTAGTGGCCGCAGAGGTAAGACAAAAAAAAATTAAATCGCAATGCTTTGACGACAGTATATTTATAAAGTTCTAGCCCAGTAATTCGACGCACCTATTAGGCATATTTCACACGAATCTTTCGCCGTATATCTGACCTTAGGACTGATAGAAATAATTTTTATTCGTATAAAGGCGATGTAACGATTGAGACTACTAGGGCAATTTTACTGAATATAAATAATTAGATATGGTGACGACATTATGATTGTAGTTATCTAGGTGTGAAATAACGAATAGACGTTCACCAGTCGTCTGAGAATATGAAGATATTTCGTGGAACGAAGAATCTCATCTATTTTTAGTATCTTTTCCTGAAGCAAGTAACACCAGAGCGTACGAAAGTTCTCCTCGCTTATTTAAACAAAAAAACAAAATACCCTTTCCTCAACGATATTCATTATATTACATGACCATCTATAATAGTTTCCATAGCCGGCAAATAGTAAACTTAAGAAAGTTGATTCAGATACGTCCATAATTTTGCCAAATTGACAACAGTTTTTTCACTGATATCTGTTCTACTCTATATTCTTATGACAGGGTACAAGGATTTTCATAGCCGGGAAACAAAAAAGATACTGAAGCGGGGACAAAAGTTGACTGAGATACTGTACATGACCTTTTTGTTACATTTTCAAAAATGTCATACACATTTCCGTGACCGTGAATCCCCCATCAAGAAGGAGTTTACAAAATATATTTTACCATAACAGTTTTCGAACTAGGTGCTGATTTTTAGACAGGACTCGGTTTCCAAAGTGATATTCCAAATCAGATTTCGTCATCTCGTCTGGTCTAATAATTCCCTTTCTACATACCTGAGATCAACGCATGCCGTATAATGTTAATTTGCTGTGAAATGTCAGCTTGAGCACGTGTTGAATGATTAAGATATACGATATCAGCATGTTCTTTCATACCTAGCTAATATAATCTTAATGCAATTATCAAGTAGTTATATTTAAACATCATTATTGAGAGATGCATCCAACCACTCAACCATACAAGACGTCTTGCCTGCTGCGCGTCACAATAGAAATAAATAAACATAAAACAAGCTCCTATTTATCGGTTAGAAAATGAAAGGAGGATTTAACGAGAATTGTTCTGATTGAAAATATGCCGGTTCTTAACATTTAAACAACAAGGTAGCCCTTCCTCCTCAAGTTTTCAAATAAGATTCTGTTAAAGTTTAACAGCAAGAGGGAAAGCAGCGTAAGACGCCTTTATTTAAAAACTTAAGATGAACGAGCGAGACATTATTCTTTAAAGGTTAACAAATATGAAACGGCCTATTTCAAATTGGAGAAATCATTTTTTAATGATTAGGTCTCTTTAGTAAGAGCTAAATAAAGGTATTTTTTAATGTTTTTCCTTCATTTATTCTGAGTTTTTGGTACTTATGAGGTTAAGTAATCTATTAGTAATTTCTGTCCAGTTTACACATATATTGTATTAACCGGACTTCTTACTTTATTTCTATTATGAGCTTTTGATCGATAGTTCATGTGTATTACGGAAGACTTACTTACATACAAGTATGCTTGTTCAATTAATCGAAAGAAAAAAGCGTACTTATATTTTAGCGAACAATCTAGTGTCAAAAAGCTGATATTTGACATGCCTATAGCTTATTCTAGATGAGTTTCCATACCCACATACCGGCTCCATTATCAGGCAGTTCCATGTCATAACCCTTTCGTCTCGAATGGTACACATATGTACCAGGCAAATTTAAAAATCCCTGCTTGTGAAATGAAGCATTTTATTTGGTATAAATCTGTACCGGTCCGGTGCATCAAGCTTCCGCAGTGTACCTACAACATGCATTGTGGATATTTTGTGGTTATGTGTATTTAGTTAGCACGTGTATGTAGTAGCGGCAGTATTACTCTAATAAAATTAGTTATTTAGGACACTCAAAGTGCTTATTTATGCAGTTTTTTGATGAAGTTCTATTTGCTATTCAACTGTAATTAGTGTTTTTACAAAGGTAGGCCAAAACTATGTTTAATTTTTGTGTTTTTGCGTGTAATATTCATGTGGTACATATATGTACCAGCCGGTATTTATGGTGGTACACATGTATTCCATCAGGTCTCTAATTACGTTTAGTTTCAGCTTCAATATGGATCGCCGCCGTCCGCTTTCACAAAAAGAGCTGGAAGCGCCAATTGAGGATATTGAAGGAATCTCAGATTCGGAACCGTTTTCTGCTGACTCCAGTGACAATTATGAACCAGATTCCGATGAAGGAGCAAGCAGTGATACGTCCGATATGTCTAACTCAGACATCGATTTTGCGCCTTCACCACAGGTAACTGTTGGTAGAAACCAAGTTCTTGACTGGGTCATTCCTGATGAAACATTTGCGCCTGCTAAAATCCTTCCTCCTGAAAGAGAATGTAAGCTGGCTCCAGATATCACCAAGCAGTTGACACCTATGCAGATTTTTCATAAAGTATTTCCTCATTCTCTTTATTTGCGCATTGCAAATTGTACAAATGAACGCCTAAAAATCTTAAACCAATTAAAAAGGAGGAATGAGAACATGACTGACAAAGGAGAAATACAGAGGGTAATTGGCTGCATGTTCATTATTTGCTACAATCGCCTTCCAAGCCTGAAAAATGATTGGAGTAAAAAGGAGTCAATGGGAAATAGCACAATTCAAAAAACTTTTTCAAGAAATCGATACACGACTTTGAGCTCAAAAATGTACTTTGCTTCTCCTCAGAAACCCCCAAATGCTTCAAAAACATATTATATTGGAGATTTGTTATCTTGTTTCAAACACACGTTTTCAAAGTGTCGCCAGGATAGCCAGTATCAAAGTATTGACGAATCTATGACCAAATTCAAGGGTCGATCTTCTTTGAAACAATATATGCCTCTCAAACCAACCAAGAGGCTTCACTGCGATGCAGATTCGGGCTATACGTATGATGTTAATGTATATTCTGGAAAAGAGGACCCAATTCCCGCCAAAAATCAATCACTAACTCTGGGAGAGCGAGTCGTAACAGCCCTTGCGTCTACAGTCAAAGAAAATAATGTAGTGTTATGTTTTGATCGCTTTTTTACAAGTGTGAATTTGTTACTTACACTAGACTATGCAGCCTTGGGAACTTGCATGTCCAATCGCAAGAACGTACCAACTACGGGAGACAAACTGCAAAAAGGGGAATCTCAATTCAGATGCATTTCTTCTGGATTACTTTGTGTAAAGTGGTAGGACACAAAGGAAGTTTTGCTGATGAGTAACTGTCATAAGCCCAAAATATCCAATGTCCAGAGGCTATATCTTTTTACAGAAAAAAAAATGCAAGGCGTTGATAGGGCAGATCAATTCATTGGGCTATATGATCATGACCGAAAATCAGCAAAGTGGTGGAAAAAGGTGTTCTACACATTGCTCAATATGTGTGCAGTAAATTCCTGGATCATGTATGATCAAATGAGACGTAAAAATGAGAACATTTCTTTTCTTTCTTTCCTCACCACACTTGCAGAAGAATTAATATCTGAAGGTATACAAAATACAAGTTTACCATTACCAAAACAAGGCGCCCCTTCAAGAAAAAGAAAATTATATGGTGCTTCAGCATTACATCTTCCTGTGGAGGGATCAACAAGAAGAAGATGCACTAGATGTTCTGAAGAGAAAAAACAAACAAGAACAAAACTCTTTGCCAGGAGTGCAATATTCCATTGTGCAAGTTCTGTTTTATGTTGTATCATACCAAATAGTTATTTAGGTTCATTTTCTTCTTTGCAAAGCTGTTTTTGTATTTTTTTTCTAAATAAATATTCTTATACCATTGTTTTTTCTGTTTTTATGAATTTTCCGATCATACCTGTTGGTACGCATGTGTACCACCATAAATGCCTGCTGGTACATATATGAACCACCCCCTCCACCGTTACCTGACCAATGAAAAAAATATATATTAACAAAAACTCATTGTAAAACATCCTAACAATAATACTTTGCACTATTTATTATTCGGACTAAGGTATTTAAATTCAGGGACGAAATGGATAATAATGTTGCATTGTCATATTGGATGTCCGCCATATTGGATTTATAGTGACTTCGCTTTTCCCATTGTGCTTTGCTCATCAATCCTTTCCATTAAACATCCATACTGTGGTGATATCATATTGCTCATTGTGTTTCTCTCATCAAGTCCATTCTTTTGATATCGATACCATTACTATGGAAATTATGAACCCAGGAGTACAAACAAAATACTATTAAAGATTAAACAGCCATATAACGTGTTTGATATGTCAGACTAACGGTCGAGATAGGACAAGAATCTCAATACATTCTATTGTCAGAGGCCTAATGACAACTTAGCATTGAAGTCTCCCATAAGGCTGATGTGATCCTTATTTAATATACGTATAATCGCTAGTTCACTACTCGTCCATGGAGACACACTACTCAATATCACGAAAGTACCCCAAAATGAGATTCTGCCAAACTAGCGTAGTAATTTTTATATCCTCTTGGCAACACAGTAATTATGACTCTAATACCAACTTAATAATCTGTGAAAATTACCAGAACAACAGAACTCAATTATTTTTCGTAGGTAGAAACCGTTTTATATTTTAGTCTGTGGGGGATAGATCTGTTCATATTTGTGGCTTTTGACAAGCTTTGATTTAAGTTGAGATATTAGTAAGTCCGGGCTTAATCTTGTTACAGTTTTTTGAACCAGTTAACGCAAACCAAATGATCTGAAATTTTGTATACATCTTTGTTTCTCGTGATAATACATTATCTGTTGCCATTTTGAATCCAATATGGCGACCGCCACGAAATGGCGATTTATAACTTCCATAGTCAATCCCATGGCTTCAAATTAAAGGTTTTATAAGGCAAACATAATAAGCAATGGGACGTCATTCTGAATCCAATATGGCGGCCGCCGTAGAATGGCGGTTTATAACTTCGATAGTCACTCCCATGATATGGGTTTCAAATGAAAGAGCTTGATAAGATGAACATAATAAGCAGTGTGACGTAATTCTGAATCCAATATGGCAACTGCCGTAGAATAGCGATTTATAACTCCGATAGACACTCGAATGATATGGGTATCAAATTAAAGAGCTTGGTGAGGGGAACGCAATAAGCCCGCGTGACGTCCAGAATGGCGGTTGCCGCAAAATAGCGATCCATAACTTGCATAGTCACCCGTATGGTATGAGTATCAAATGAAAGTGATTGGTGAGAGAAACGGAATAAGCAATGTGACGTCAGTCTTAATCATATCGTTATGATATGGGTATTAAATAAAAAGCCCGAAGCGCAATAAGTGAAACGACGTGATTCTGGATTAAATATGGCGGACGTTTGATATGATAATGCAGCATTATTATGATGTTCTAATGGTGGAGCTGGGGCATGGTCATGGGTACTCTGTAATAAGTCGATGGAACCCTTTGAATTAGGGTCATTTAACTCTTCTTGACAGATACTCTAAGACTAGGGTCTGATAATTAAGATAACTATTATGTAAAAATACACACCCATAGTAACCATATCAATTTTTAGCTCTTCAACGTTAGATAAATCGTTAAAATATAGTTACACCTAATTTCATCGATCAGCTGGAGAAGGATAGTTGACATATATGTAACAATTAAAACTCATAACCGATGAAGAGCACTGTTGACAGAAAGACTATTGGGCAATAGTGATTTTTTTTAAATTTTATCGATTAAAAGTGGTTTTAACCAAGAATATAAGTAGAACTGAAGTATTGATTACGAATGAGAATAAAAGTCGTAGGTAAGTGCTTCCGAAATCTTTTAATTATCAAGCAAATGAAAATTTTGCTTACTTGTCGTCATAATTTTTAGAAAACATAATTATATAACATTATATTCATCTGCTGTGGATACTCTTTGTGACAAATTAAAAAATAATAGTATGAAAAGAGAATAACATAAAGTAATTGAATTATTAGTTAGTTATTTGATGGCGAGTTTATATAATATTTCAATACACATAGTCATAACCATAAAAAGCGGATGTTTCAAATTAGACATTCACTATTAGAATATCGGGAACGGAAAGAGGTACGAGGTCGGTTAAATGAATCAAAAAAAAAAAGTTGCGCATTTAGTTAACTACAATGGTCTTAGGAAGTTTCGCAAATCCGAGTATTTAAGGATATAGATGAAAGAAACCGAATTTTGTCATTGAATTTATTTTTTCTTTTGTACTTACTATACTTTTTATGTTTTTTCATGTGCAATTGTCACAAACTGATGTTGACAGCTTAATGCATGAATAAAGAACTGGCTTCAGCGCTGTATTAAAATTGTTTTCACCTGGAAAGAATTCAATTGATACCTGCAAAGCGAATGGCCCATAGATAGACATGAAAGATCCGTAAGGGACAGCATTGAATAACGTATATCTTAATCAATGTTGCTAATCAAACACTCAGCAGTATACGTGTATAAGTCACCGCAAAGGCTGCTGGAGCTACGAAAAAATCTGTTCTGGGATGTATAGCATCATGGCAAACAAATTATCTCCTGTGACAACTGGTTCAAGCCGTATCGGCTTTCTTGGAAGTGTCTATTTTCATACATCAAACAAAGATTAGCATAATATTTATGTCACAGCTTCCTATTGTTCGAACCAACCGATTCATTCTATTTACATAAGTGTGTCGTCCCTCCTCTTAAATTTATCCTCGTACCTTCATCGATATTTATACTTTATTGCGTGTAATAGCTGTTGTAGTACAGGTGATGCTTCAATAATATTAATTTGGGATCATTCCGATATGTGCCTGAGATGTATTTCTCTAACATTGCTGTGTATGCGATAGAATGTGTTTTTGCAACATCAAATGCGGTGACAAGTAGATTGCCTCCATACCTCGCACACCTTCGGCTCAGTATCTAGTATAATTTACCCATGAATTACAATTTCTTCCATACCCATCAAAAGGCGTAGGTTTTGTGAGAATAAGCAATACGCTATTGGCCTTTCAATGGAAAAAATCCCCAGATTGCAGTAATGAGAATGTCCATACATGGTAGGCTTATTTCCTTGGAGCGGTGGTGTTTGTCATCAATGTTTGATAAGTGATTATGATAGCTCGTGATACGTTCTTTGAATCCTGGAAAGACCAATTAGCCCACTAATTATTATTTTATCTGGAAAAACGTTCCTCAGTCTACCGCAATAGACATTTCCTAATTTTGAATGTTTGTTATTATTTGTCAGCCGTTTTGAGTTCTGAATTTTGCTTCCAAGATTTGGCCCGTATCGTCAGTCGTCCCTACAATTGTAGCTCGCCTTTATGGCCTCCTTGATTGTCATAGTTTTCTACTTCTCCGTGTCAGCGCTCTATTTTGAGGTTATGTCACAAATATCTATTTGCATCAAATTGTGCTTGCTTTTGAGTTATATCATGTTTTATCAGCCTGAAATTTCCTACAATTTAAAAAGAAAAATATCTTCACAACAGGAGAGCGCTGACGCTGACATGGGACAAGTGTAATCTCGAAATTTTTGAAGGAGAGAAAGGAGTATGACAATCAAGGAGGCCATAAACGCGCCCTACAATTTTAGGAACGACTGACGATACGGGCCTAAGTAACCTCTTGAAGCTACGGTCATGTATGTAGATGCAGTAATTTATTTACTTCGTTATACTGGGTGTTTCACAAATTTTAACCACATATGAACTGTTATGAAAGAAGTTGATTTCCCAAAAAAAAAATGTGATAAAAGTTCTACAGAAATTGAGTTATAAGCCTGAGCTTCAGTAATAAATTGAAAAATGAATATCTGTGTTTTGCGTTCATCATCGTGATATTAGATCACTCATTAATAATTTATTGTTGCAAATGTACCAAACAACCGACGAAAACAAAATACCAGAAATTTTTCATTTTGTCATACTGATAAGAAGATGTGAATAAGGTTTAATCTGTATCGTGGGTGATCTGAATGAAGGACGGTCGATTTTTGTCAAGTTAAATAAGAAAGTATTTTGCGAGTTTATGTTTTTAGTTATTTATTAATAAAAATGGCACATGTGTTCACTGGTGAGGAGTTAGTGGACATTGTTGTAGCGTACGGAGAAGCAGGGCAAAATTCGAGAGCATCTTCACGTTTCTATGCACATCGATTTCCAAATAGGTACATACCACAACACGAAGCATCTAGTTCATTCCTCTGGAATTCTTTTTATGGGAATACCTGAAAAACGAGGTATACAGTACTCCAGTTCAGAATATTGAAGAATTGCGTTACCGAATCACAGTGGCTGCCGATAATTTGAGCTTTCAGGCACAGCAGGAATAAGGTGTATTTGGATTAGTGTATTAGTAGATTGGATCAGACGCGCCCAATCTTGCTTTGCAGTTAATGGAAACCATTTTGAACAGCTTTTATAAGTAAGTGAACTGTTAAACTGTATTATTTTGTAATCTCGATTTCTGCACGACTTATATTACATTTTTTTTTTTTGAGAAATCAACTTCTTTCGTAACTGTGCATATGTGGTTAAACTTTGTCGGATAAGTTGTGACATACCCTGTACAAGAACAATAATAACATAGAATGGGTAGATGTTTCAATCCACAGAAGGACAATGCCTGTACATGGACCAGTTGCATGTTGGAATGTGTTCTTAAAACAAAACAAAAAAGTTAAAAGAAAAAGAAAGAAAGAACAATTTATATCAGATGGGTATATGTAGAAGATGAAGATTTT